AGCATTTTTGCCTTGTACATGTTGCTTGACCTGAGGGCAGTCTTGCAGCATAGACTCAACACAGCCCTCTGAAAATTTAGTGAGGGAAGTATAGCCAGATAAAATGATTTTAAGGAGTCATGTGCCATGGAGATATGCATTGTTTCTCTGGTCCTTCTCACGTGGAGAAGTATAAATTCCATAAGTATATCCATTTGACATGGAATTAGCCCTGGTAGACATAAAAATCAGTCAGTGACCTTTATATGCAATAAAGATAAATTATATATTGTTAAGTAATCTTTATTTACAGGGAAAAATTAATGTCTGGTTTGGCAATTTTCTTTCTTTTGCAGCCCCAAGAGATGTTTAAAAGAATGGTGGTTTACAATTCATCATTTAGATCTAACAAAAAACAAGTAAAATAACATTTTCCTTTTCCTTTGTGTGGTACTAACCCTTTCTTTCTCTATTCTTTGTTGTTGCTTCCTTTGAGACCCAGGATGGAATACAGCCATAATGCATGAAAACTATGAGTCGGTGTAATTTTCATTGTGTGCATGTACTTCTCATCAGCCTAAACAAAAGCCATATATGAAGAATGAGGAATGAGTAGATATTGTAGAACATATTCTTTTTTCAACCTGTCATGTATCAGCTGGTAACTTTAGGAGGGTTTAGAGAGAGAAAACTGAAGCCAGAATTGTACAGATAGTCTACTGATATTTTCTGCTAGTTGTTTCTTTGTTCTAAACCCTGCTTGTTGTAAGAGGAGTATTATTTTTCCAGAGTAAATGGATAGCATGCATTAGTACTGTTATTAGCTGACTGGGTTTTCTCTTAGAGCCTAAAGATGGAAAATACCTATTAAGGCATCTCTTTTGTCCCTTTTATGGTACACTAGTTTTCCCTGTTATGCTACTTCTAGTGCTTTATTCTGTCCAATGTTGAATAATAATAAATAAAGTAACAAGGCTTCCACTACTTTCACTGAAAAGCTGTTCCATTTCTTAATAGAGTGTACTGTGAGGAAACAGATGCATTTTAACTTCCTTGCTGCTGTTAAATGTGTCAGGTTGCATAAAATGCACCTTACAATGCCCTGTTAAAGAGGATGCATCACCATGTTCTCTGGAACACTAGGAGAGGTTTGCAGCATGATTGCTTGAATTCGAATTCAGCAGTGAAGATTAATCCTAACTCTAGGTGTTTTCTTTTTTTCCCCCATTTCCTACCTTTCATGACCTTTATTTTTAAAATAGACCTATCAGTTGCATGGCTTTATAGATCACTGTTTCTAGTTGGACAACCCAGTTTCAATGTGGCCTATTATACAGAGTGAGCATACTAAAATTCATTTTTGTATTATAAAAGTTAAGACTGCAAATAATTTGTTCTTAGCAAAATTATTTTTTAGAACTCTGTGTATTTGAGACATGGCTGCTGTGTTTGTATTGGTGCTATACAATTAATCAACTACATTGCTGCCTATTAAATGTGAAAAATTCCCTTCAGTTCATAGAAAGGAGAATGATGGTGTAACAAACAGGAGTAGTTCTGTGATTACTGATTAGACATCTTCTTACAATTGTCCATCCTTACCATACTCACAGAAACCTCTGCAGGCAGGCAAAGCCCAATTGACTTTCCTGGGGCTCTACAAGGGTTCAGGAACCCACCTGAAAGGAACAAGTTCCAGGTTCAAAACTAAAGCATCAGTTCCTCTATTCCCATGAGTCTCACTGCAATCGATTCAAGCTTTGGGCAAAAATGGAATACTGCATTGAGTTCAAGCAATGACAAAACATCCTAGGATCATTTACTATTACATGCCATTGAATGGTAACGTAATCTGCTTGTATAGCATTTGTACAGTGTTTTCAAACTTCCTAAAGTTACAGAACTCTTTTGTATAATTTCTTCTGCAATGGGAACCCTACTTTATGGCCTGTGTGAGCTGATACAGAGCCAGATGACCCAGCCTGGCAATGGTGGTCCATCGCCTGCTGACCCACTCCACCAGTGCCTCCAGTCTCTTTGCAGAACCCCTGATGACCTATCAGGGAACCCAGGGTTCCACGGAAAACAATTCGAAAACCACTGCACTAGCATATTAAGAAAACCCACTCTTTTCTTAATTTAATTTATTTTAATCCTCTACACCTGTGGGCTTCTTTTTTGTTTGGGGATTTGGTTGGTTTGTTGAGTGCTTGTTTGTTGCTAATTATTTAGGCTGGGATTTCAGTGACCAACCTTCATTGGGTTTGACTTCCTTGAAAATTTCAGCTGTATCTTATATCTAGAACGTTGAGCTACTACAACCAATATATGGTCCAGTTCTGCCTATGGTTCATTGCATTTCAGTTGAATGAAGCCACGGGGGCATCTGCAAGTCAGTAAATAAATAGTCTGCGACCATCTTATCTTTCTTTACAGTTTTGGCAGGCAGTGACATTCTTTCCAGAGATACAGTTCTATAACTGGAGGGCAGGATTGTGACTGTGGCTTCAATTTTAATTTGACTGAATTATTAGGCCTCTCCTGAGTACGCAGGGCTCAGAGCCCTCCATCCACTGAGAGTAACTGGTGTCACACCTCCTGGAAAGACTTCTTTGAAACGGCTTATGCTCGTGTGGCATTTAGAAGCTTATTGGATCCAGATTGTATTCTTTTTTGTTTGTTTGTTTGAAGATTTCTTCTTTTTTTTCCTTCTTGTTTAAAATGCATTTTCCCTAGAAAATTTTCATCAGGGCCAACATCTGTTTTTTTCATGAAGGAAAGGGCCTGAGATGAAACAAGGCCAAGTGACTGGCCCTCGGTTACTTAATGAACCAGTGGCTCTGCTCAGATTAGAATTCCTTTCTCCAGGCTGTTTGTTCCAGCAACAAAGATGTTTGGTCTGACTGCCTCTCTCAAGATAAAACACATGAAACTAACACAAATACTTAACCAGCCTCTGTTTACCTGAATCCATTAATTTCCACTTTCATTGTACAATATATCTGTATAACTTAATGGAAGGCTATTCGTAATGCTTCCATATTTTAGCTGTACTAAGTATCCAATGGGTCTTCTAAGTGCATGGATATAGTTTTAGGAGTGAAATCCTGGCCTTATCAGAATCGGTGGTAAAACTCCCAGGATTTAGGATGGAGATGGGATATCATCCTAAACTTCTAGTTCGTTAAGTTCCACAACTGGCAAGCTCACTCAGCACCTATTAAAATATTTATTAATGTCTCCCTATAACCCTGTCACTAAAAAGAGCCTTAACCCCTAAGGATCACCCTGTCGGGCAAATTTTGTGGTAACAGACAAGCCTTGCTTCCCGTGTTGAAGGTTTAGCTCAGGCTGGCTGATCACTGGGAACAAGATGTAGTGCCCCCTGCTGCACATGCTGTTCCCTCAGCTCCCAGATGTTGAATTCTGGTTGTGTACTGTAAGCTGTTCTACTGATCCTTCATCTGACAAAAGGGAACACGGTGAGAGAAACAGTTTCTTAAGAAACTCAAACCCACAGGTGCCTCCTACAGTGTTTTTGGATGAACACTTTGATTTTCATAGACCAGACACCATGGCAGGGTCAAAAGCACAGATGTCATGTGCTCTGTGTAGGAGACTGCCAAATAAGTAGGTAGCCATGCTCTGCAGTAGCAGAATTGTAAGCATTCTTCAAAATGTAGCTCTAACCATAGTGCCTAGCAGCAACTCACACTGGTCACAATAAAGATAGAGCTGGCAAGTGGTGACGTCTATGCCCCAAGGAAAGATCACACTGACATTGAGTAGGTGGAGGGGGAAGGGATGTGGAGGAGGCACACTTGATTACTACTGCCACTTGGTCATTTAACAGCAGCCTGGGGTAAGATAGGAACCTGATGCTGTGCACTTTATTAACAGATGCTAGACAGATGCTAATTGATAGACTTTCCCTTTCACAATCAATCCTCCTACCTCTATGTCTCCATATCCCCCAAACAATGGCAGCTGGAATTGGTACAAATGCATTTGCTGGGTATATGAGCAAGACTTTCTCCATGTCACAAAGTCAGCAATACAACAACGTTGCTGCGTTCCACACAGAATCCATGCAGAACTTTCATCAATCACAAAGCTATCCATCCTGGCTCAGTCTGTAGGTCTCAGAGGAGGTCCCACCCTCCTGAGGTTAGATAGTTACAAACCAGAACCTGCCTGTCCGCTGATTTCTGACTGGTTCCCTGCAAACCTCTCCCCACAGAGAAGGGGTAGGTTGTCATATTCCCTCCCTTGTGATGTTGTGGCTGAGGTAAATAGATTTGGCCCTGAAAGTTAAAAAGGCAGATAATCCTCTAAAAATAAAAAAAAATACTTCTCAATATAACTACCATACCAGCACTCTTTTCAACCAAACCTGACACATCCCCAATCCCACAGCTTCATCCTAATTTCAACCCCATCTCCCTGCTAAAATCTTCATACCTCCCACACTGTTCCTACAATTAAACCAAAAATGAACTACTTCCTTCCATTTTGGAGACAATTTTAATAGAACCAGAGACTCGGGTCATGGTGCCAAACAGAGTTAAACCCCATACACCCTGGGCCACTGTTGTGGAGAATAGTTTTAGGTTCTTCCACTTTTACACAGACCAAAGAGTACCTTATGGTGGGAATCATGTCATTAAACTAACTACTTCTGGAGGCTAAAGGTGGTAGAAATTGACCTATCATTCTGATGAGAGACAACCAGATTATAAAAGGTACAGAGTGTTTGCTAGGCCCCAAAAGTTCCCCGTCTTCATGAACTCTCAGATTGTAGCTTGTAACCTTACCAACTAATTTGTCGTCCTAATCTAAGGCTTTTAAGTGTCTTCTGACTGTCAGGAGGACTATCTGCTTACTTGTGTGTGTCCTTCTCCATGTTATAATCATCTTTTGTAGTTTACAGGGGAGTACCTTTTCTAGGTATGGTGGGGTTTGGGGAGTGTCTGTGTGTTTCCCTGTGAGCTGCCTACAAACATGCATTATTTTATTTTCAGGGATTCCAGAAGTACGTTGAAAATTTTGACCCCTATTCAATGGTAAGAGTTTTTAAATGTGCTACATAGAATAAAATGACATGATGTAGGGA